ACACACCACACACAAAACAACCACGGGAGTAGTAGAATAATAGCTCTAGGCCTTTCGTATTGCAATCAACACATCCTCAGGAGCTTGCAAAATTGCAGAAAAGAGGAGGGGTTCTAGCAAATAACGTTCTCAGAGTACCCCCTTTAAACTAGAGTGAGAGAACAGTGTAGGGAGAAATGAGAGCACCAGAAATGACCAGGCACCCCTAGGCCAACGTGAACCTTTATATTTTTGAGAGAAAACTGTCCCGTATAGGGGAGGACTTCTACAAGTTATGTAAAGGAAACTGGGCTCTTTAAAATAAATAAACTAGGGGAAAGACATTTTCCCAAGAACAAGGAAACCAGTCACAAATACTCATCCCACATAATTCTGAGGCAAACCTGGTTAAAACCTTTCAGAAACTGCAGGAAAAATATATACAAGGTCTAAGTCCTTGGCGTGGCACTACATTTAAGGCAGTTTGAAGCATTCTATAAGAGCCCAATTTTCCTTCCTCTTGCTTTGCTGTTTTTTCTTACCAATCTGTGCTTCTTAAGGCCCACAAAGTGTCCTTAAAATTAGTACTTTTACGAAAGTGCCTCAGTAAACAGGTATTAAACCCAAAATCGCTTCAACAAAAACAGGTTGGTTAATCTGTCGTCGACCCCCGTTAATCAACTCCACAGGTTATTGATTACTAAGAATATTGATCTGCTTGAACACGAAAGGAAAAAGTTATTTATTAAAGTTAGAAAAGCCAAACAAAGTTTTTCAACATGGAACCACCTATGTGGCAAGATCATTACTAGATTACATATTAAGGGATTGAGAAAAATGAAACAGAAAACGGAATGTTTACATACTAGGAAACTAAACCCAAACTCATCGCACAAAGTGGCTGGTCCAACATGCTAACCCGGAGTTTGCTATTAACCTGTCGAGAGTTGAACTTACCCCGGGAAACCCGCAGACTGCATTAGGATATGGGTTAAGTTTTCGCGCCTACTAGTGGGGGTACTAATTATGTTGACCTTGCCAAATCCTTTTGCAACTTGGAAAAACAAGGGGACCTATCCCCTGAAACATTCAACATCTACAAAGTCATGGTATATGGAGCTTTTTCTCAGACCTGTGGAACCGAATTGTCCTCAAAAATTTATTAAATCGTACCATGAAATGAAAAGAGATCCTCGACTTCATCTTACGAAAGCGGACAAAGCAAATGTGATGGTTATTATGGACAAGGCAGATTATAGCGGCAAAATGAACATATTATTAGAGGACAGGGATGCTTACGTACCCCTTAATAAGAACCCTTTCGACCAGATTAATGGTAAATTTAATAAACAACTCAGAACCTTACTGAGAGGTAGTGAGGAAAATTTAAATTAAACAGTTATCGGCGAGATCTGCGACACTCACTTACATGTACGGTTTGATTAAAACCCTCAAGCCCAGTTTTCCAGCCAGACCTATAATTAGTTCGGTAGGATCAGCATCATATGCCTTGTCAAAATGGTTAGTAAAAATACTAACTCCTTTGCTTTACAACATTTCTGAAGCCCACTTAAAAACAATGTTGATCTCATCGACAAATTGCAAAATATCAACATGTCTGATGATTTTACACTTGTTAGTTTTGATGTTACTGCGATATTCACGAGAGTCCCTGTTCCAGATTTGCTATCTTATTTGGAAGAAGAATTAGATGAGTTCTCTTTGCCGTATGAGAAAAATACCATTACTGAATTGATTAAGCTTTGCATAGTTGACAGCAAGTTTGAGTTTGAAGGTAAATACTATGCTCAAAAACAGGGAAGGGCGATGGGTAATCCGTTGTCCCCCTTATTGAGCAGTTTGTATATGGAATTTTTCGAGGCTAGACTGTTGAAGGATATCTTGCCATGTAGAGCTAAATGGTTCAGATATGTGGGTGACATCTTGAGTCTTTCGCCAAATGATATAGCCTTGGATACATTTTTACCAAGACTTAACGCCTTAGTCCCGTCTATTAAATTCACTGTGGAGAAAGAGGTGGACTCTAAGCTTCCGTTCTTAGATGTGTTTTATACACCGAGTTGATAGAAAGTTTAAGTTTACAGTATATAGGAAGGCTAATGATGCGTGCTCATACATTCACTACTATTCCAACCATGAGATTAAAGTCAAAAGGAGTGTATTTCTTACTATGTTTTTGAGAGCCTATAGTGTGTGTAGTCCGGAGTCCCTAGATGAAGAAACGGGAAAATATTTGACAGTGGCACGAAACTGCAATACCTTAAGTGTTTATGGAATCTGCCTTGCTGGCAGCTAAAAGAACCTATTTTAGAACAGAACCTAGGATAACACCTCAGACCAAGAATGTGCTGGTCCTCCCATATAACGAACATTTATCTATCCTGCCGAATTAAATGCTCAAGTAGCATTTAAAAATTCACGGACTGTTAGAAGCATCCTGATAAAGAACGCACCCCAACAACGTGTTGGTGGTGTTTACAGAGTTGGTTGCAATCTCTCCTATTTGGGACAAACTGTAAAATCATTGGAGGTGAGAATTTCCCAGCATCGCTATTCGATACGTATAGCACAGGAGTCGAATGCGATTTTCAACCATATTAGAGCTTGTAATAATCCAGAAAACTGGCAGGAAGCAAGAATCATTTTCCCCTGTTCCTCCTGGTTTAAAAGGAATATTGTAGAATCGGCAATTATTAAGCATGATAGGCAGGCTTTATACAATACCAGTGATGGGCTCTTCAGATTAGATGCGTATTTAATTGAGGCAATAGTGCACAGTTTAAAATTGGGCTCTTATATGAATGTATCAAACTGCTTTGAATGTAGTGCCACGCCAAGGAATTAGGAATTGTACATATTTTTCCTGCAGTTTCTGAAGGTTGAACCAGAGTTTGCCTCAGAATTATGTGGGATGAGTATATGTGACTGGTTTCTTTGTTACTGAAGATGTTTTCCCCCTTTAAATGCGTTTATTTTAATGAGCCCCGTATTCTTCAATACTTGTAGAAGTCTTCCACATACGGGTCGTTTTTACTCATAATATACAGGTTCACGTTGGCCTAGGGGTGCCTGGTCATTTCCGGTGCTCTCATTTCTTCCTACACTATTCTTTCACTCCAGTAAAAGCGGTCCTCTGGGAACGTTATTTGCTAGAACCCCTCCTCTTTTCTGCAAATTTATAAGCTCCTGATGTTGTATTGTTTGCAACACGAAAGGCCTAGAGCTATTATTCAACTCCCCCGTGGTTGTTTTGAATCTTGTATCGCTTGGTTTGTGATATTCGCTTAAAAATTATATATATATATATATATATATATATATATATATATATATATATATATATATATATATATATATATATTCGTTAGGTTTAGAATGACTTTTTCGAAATTATTGCAGAACTTGCCATCTTGGCTTAAATAGCAACGCTCATCTTGCCATATAAGTCAAGTGAAAATTTGTGTATGCGATAATTTCGCCAAAATCATTCTGAGCCTAACGAAAAAAATATATTTCACTGTGTTTAGTATTAAATTATTGTAAACAAATCTAAAATATATTTAGTTGGGTTAGGTTAAAATAAATTGCGCTTGTTGTAATAAGGTTAGGTAAGTTTTCTAAGTTCCTTTTGGTGCAAAATTATAAGTTTTTACATCAACATTAGTGAAAAAAAATATATCCTTAAACGCATTAGAGAAAATTTTAGAATGTACTTAATTTTAAATAAATTCTTGCTAATTGACCAGTTTTGCATATTCGGCACGACATTATATATAATATATATATATATATATATATATATATATATATATATATATATATATATTTATATATATATATATATATAAAAGAACATAACATAAGAATGGAGGAACACTACATAAGGCCTACTGGTCCATACAAAGCATGTCCTTATCAAAACCACCCGTTCCCAAAGCTACCCAAGATTTACTCCCGTACCAACGACACCAATCAAACCCAGCCCCCTCCCACTCATATATCTGTCCAATCTCTTCTTAATGCTACCCTGGGTTGTAGCCTTGATTACCCTACTCGGAAGATTGTTCCACGCATCGACCACTTTTTAAAAACTAGTACTTACCTACGTTCTTTCTAAATCTAAATTTATCCAACTTAAATCCGTTATTCCTGGTTCTTACCTCATTAGTTTTCCTCAGTATTCTATTAATATCGCCTTTGTTTATGCCCACTTATACACTTCGTTTATGCCCATTTATACACTTCGATGACATCTCTCATTCTACGTCTCTCAAGAGAATGAAGATTCAAGGATTTATACGGGAGATTCCTTATACAGTGAACCATTTTAGTTATCCTTCTCTGTATGTTCTCCAATAATCCAAGTGAGGCCTTACTAGTGATGTATACAGTTGTAAAATATCTTTTGGACTCCTGGTACTTATATATCTTGAAATAAATCCTAGTAATGCCTTTTCCTCCTCCTCGTCCGCTTATTAAATTTATTTGTTAATAATAATAATAATAATAATAATAATTTTATTATTTAATTGTTATTATTACTACGATTTGGAAGACTAAGGAAGATAATCATGTTGAAAATGCGGAAGAGGGTTCAACTCCAGAGTTCAGACTGTGGAGCTGAACTCTTCTCCAGGTTGAGTAACTGACAACCTCAAACTATTTTTCCTAGTTGATGGACCATTACATCTTTATCTCACCATTAACTCTGTCCTCTATAATCCATTGTCCTGTGTATTTGACTGAAGAAGCGTACCGCGTAGTAGAAACATTTCAACAATAAAAATAACCAACACTTGCATAGGTGTCTTACTCATCAATGAGTAATAATGTTCGAAGCTAAAAAGAGGAGGTCAGCTGGAATTCCTTTGATAAAGAGTTCTTTATTGGTATAATGACCTTAATTCAAAATGTGTGTTGGTCACAGTGGCAAGCCCAGTAGTGACTCAAGCCTCTGCAAGAAAAATTTGGTGAATATAGTGACCAGAATACTGACTGACCTTGTAGCAGCTGTCATATATGTGGTCCCAACCCGCGCTGCACGAGTCAGTAGGCGGCTCAGAGGGTGGCTCAGAGGGCGGCTCAGAGGGCGGCTCAGAGGGCGGCTCAGAAGGTGGCTCAGAGGGCGGCTCAGAGAGTGGCTGTGTGGACAGCTCAGAGGGCGGCTGTGTGGATAGTTGGGAGGTGTTCTCGGTGGGTGTAATGGATGGTGGCTGGGTGGTAGACTCGATGGGTGTAATGGATGGCAGCTGGGTGGGGTGCAGGGTATAGTCGACTGCAAGCAGTTTGGTAGATCGATAGGTGGGCAGCTTGGTGGGTTGTTGCATAGGCAGGGAGGAGATTCGCTGTATGGAACGAGTGGTGGGCAGCTGTGTGGACGAGATGGTAGGAGTCGAGATTACCCCTCCCTCGTACTGACCTGAAGCAACAGGAAGAATCACGGGAGCTTAGAGGGGATGAGTTTATTATTATTATTATTATTACACAACACACACACACACACACAAACACACACACACACACACACACACACACACACACACACACACACACACACACACACACACACAAGACAAGAGTATAAACGCCAACCAGCATGGATTCATGGAAGGAAAATCCTGTGTCACAAACCTGGAATTTTATGATAAAGTAACAGAAGACACGAGAGAGAGGGGTGGGTTGATTGCATCTTCTTGGACTGCAAGAAGGCCTTTGACAGAGTTCCTCACAAGAGATTAGTGCAGAAGCTAGAGGATCAGGCGCATGTAACAGGAAGGGCACTGCAATGGATCAGAGAATACCTGACAGGGAGGCAACAACGAGTCATGGTACATAATGATGTATCACAGTGGGCGCCTGTGACGAGCGGGGTCCCACAGGGGTCGGTCCTAGGACCAGTGCTATTTTTGGTATATGTGAACGACATGATGGAAGGGTTAGACTCAGAAGTGTCCCTGTTCGCAGACGATGTGAAGTTAATGAGGAGAATTAAATCAGATGAGGACCGGGCAGGACTTCAAAGAGACCTGAACAGACTGGACACCTTGTTCAGCAAATGGCTTCTCGAGTTTAATCCCTCCAAATGCAAAGTCATGAAGATAGGGGAAGGGCACAGAAGACCGCAGACAGTGTATAGGCTAGGTGGCCAAAGACTGCAAACCTCGCTCAAGGAGAAAGTTCTTGGGGTGAGTATAACACCGAGCATGTCTCCGGAAGCACACATCAACCAGATAACTGCTGCAGCATATGGGCGCCTGGCAAACCTGAGAACAGTGTTCCGATACCTTAGTAAGGAATCGTTCTAGACACTGTACACAGTGTACGTCAGGCCCATACTGGAGTATGCAGCACCTGTTTGGAACCCGCACTTGATAAAGAACGTCAAGAAACTAGAGAAAGTGCAAAGGTTTGCGACAAGGTTAGCTCCAGAGCTAAGGGGAATGTCCTATGAAGAAAGGTTAAGGGAAATCGGCCTGACGACACTGGAGGACAGGAGGGTCAGGGGAGACATGATAACGACATATAAAATACTGCGCGGAATAGACAAGGTGGACAAAGACAGGATGTTCCAGGGAGGGGGCACAGAAACAAGAGGTCACAATTGGAAGTTGAAGACACAGATGAGTCAGAGAGATAATAGGAAGTATTTCTTCAGTCATAGAGTTGTCAGGTAGTGGAATAGCCTAGAAAGTGACGTAGTGGAGGCAGGAACCATACATAGTTTTAAGACGAGGTTTGATAAAGCTCATGGAGCGGGAAGAGAGAGGGCCCAGTAGCAACCGGTGAGGAGGCGGGGCCAGGAGCTAAGACTCTACCCGTGCAACCACAAATAGATGAGTACACACACACACACACACACACACACACACACACACACACACATAAGGAGACCAGTCGTAGAGCCAGAAACGAATATGCACAGATAAGAAGGGAGGCCCAAAGACAATATGAAAATGACATAGCAGCGAAAGCCAAATCTGACCCAAAACTGTTGTACAGCCACATCAGGAGGAAAACAACAGTCAAGGACCAGGTAATCAGGCTAAGGAAGGAAGGAGGAGAGTCAACAAGAAATGACCGTGAAGTATGTGAAGAACTCAACAAGAGATTCAAAGAAGTGTTCACAGAGGAGACAGAAGGGACTCCAGAAAGACGGAGAGGTGGGGCACACCACCAAGTGCTGGACACAGTGCACACCACCGAGGAAGAAGTGAAGAGGCTTCTGAGTGAGCTAGATACCTCAAAGGCAATGGGGCCAGATAACATCTCCCCATGGGTATTGAGAGAGGGAGCAGAGGTGCTATGTGTACCCCTAACAACAATATTCAATACATCTATCGAAACAGGGAGATTGCCTGAGGCATGGAAGACAGCAAATGTAGTCCCAATCTTTAAAAAAGGAGACAGACATGAAGCATTAAACTACAGACCAGTGTCACTGACATGTATAGTATGCAAAATCATGGAGAAGATTATCAGGAGAAGAGTGGTGGAACACCTAGAAAGGAACTATCTCATCAACAGCAGCCAACATGGTTTCAGGGACGGGAAATCCTGTGTCACAAACCTACTGGAGTTCTATGACATGGTGACAGCAGTAAGACAAGAGAGAGAGGGGTGGGTGGATTGCATTTTCTTGGACTGTAAGAAGGCGTTTGACACAGTTCCACACAAGAGATTGGTGCAAAAACTGGAGGACCAAGCATGGATAACAGGGAAGGCACTACAATGGATCAGGGAATACTTGTCAGGAAGACAGCAGCGAGTCATGGTACGTGGCGAGGTGTCAGAGTGGGCACCTGTGACCAGCGGGGTCCCGCAGGGGTCAGTCCTAGGACCAGTGCTGTTTCTGGTATTTGTGAACGACATGACGGAAGGAATAGACTCTGAGGTGTCCCTGTTTGCAGATGACGTGAAGTTGATAAGAGAATTCACTCGATCGAAGACCAGGCAGAACTACAAAGGGATCTGGACAGGCTGCAGACCTGGTCCAGCAATTGGCTCCTGGAGTTCAATCCCCCCAAGTGCAAAGTCATGAAGATTGGGGAAGGGCAAAGAAGACCGCAGACGGAGTACAGTCTAGGGGGGCCAGAGACTACAAACCTCACTCAAGGAAAAAGATCTTGGGGTGAGTATAACACCAGGCACATCTCCTGAAGCGCACATCAACCAAATAACTGCTGCAGCATATGGGCGCCTGGCAAACCTCAGAACAGCATTCCGACATCTTAATAAGGAATCATTCAGGACCCTGTACACCGTGTACGTTAGGCCCATATTGGAGTATGCGGCACCAGTTTGGAACCCACACCTAGCCAAGCACGTGAAGAAACTGGAGAAAGTGCAAAGGTTTGCAACAAGACTAGTCTCAGAGCTAAGAGGTATGTCCTACGAGGAGAGGTTAAGGGAAATCAACCTGACGACACTGGAGGACAGGAGAGATAGGGGGGACATGATAACGACATACAAAATACTGAGAGGAATTTACAAGGTGGACAAAGACAGGATGTTCCAGAGATTGGACACAGTAACAAGGGGACACAGTTGGAAGCTGAAGACACAGATGAATCACAGGGATGTTAGGAAGTATTTCTTCAGCCACAGAGTAGTCAGTAAGTGGAATAGTTTGGGAAGCGATGTAGTGGAGGCAGGATCCATACATAGCTTTAAGCAGAGGTATGATAAAGCTCACGGCTCAGGGAGAGTGACCTAGTAGCGATCAGTGAAGAGGCGGGGCCAGGAGCTCGGACTCGACCCCCGCAACCTCAACCAGGTGAGTACAACTAGGTGAGTACACACACACACACACACAGAAACTGCAAAAGTTTGCAACAAGACTAGTCGCGGAGCTGAGGAGAGGTTAAAGGAAATCAACCTGACGACACTAGGGGACAGGAGAGATAGGGGGGATATGATAACGACATATAAAATACTTAGAGGAATCGACAAGGTGGACAGAGACAGGATGTTCCAGAGATGGGACCCAGTAACAGGGGGGTCACAGTTTGAAGCTGAAGACTCATATGAATCGCAAGGATGTTAGGAAGCATTTCATCAGTCACAGAGTTGTAAGAATGTGGAATTGTCTGGGAAGTGATGCAGTGGAGACAAGATCCATATATAGCTTTAAGAAGAGGTATGATAAAGCTTATGGAGCAGGAACCAATGAAGAAGCGGGGCCAGGAGCTGTGAGTCGACCCCTGCAACAACTGAGTACACACACACACACAAATATACATCTCTCAACACACCGGCAGTATCCCACCAAGGCAGGGTGGCCCGAAAAAAACGATAGTTTCTCTTTTTAACTTTAGCAATGTATACAGGAGAAAGGGTTACTAGCCCTTCCCTCCCGGCATGTTAGTCGCCTCTTACGACACGCATGGATTAGGGAGGAAGAATTCTGTTCCACTTCCTCATATATATATATATATATAAAATATATATATATATATATAATATATATATTATATATATATAATATATATTAATATTTATTATTTTTTTTTATTATCACACTGGCCGATTCCCACCAAGGCAGGGTGGCCCGAAAAAGAAAAACTTTCACCATCATTCACTCCATCACTGTCTTGCCAGAAGGGTGCTTTACACTACAGTTTTTAAACTGCAACATTAACACCCCTCCTTCAGAGTGCAGGCACTGTACTTCCCATCTCCAGGACTCAAGTCCGGCCTGCCGGTTTCCCTGAACCCCTTCATAAATGTTACTTTGCTCACACTCCAACAGCACGTCAAGTATTAAAAACCATTTGTCTCCATTCACTCCTATCAAACACGCTCACGCATGCCCGCTGGAAGTCCAAGCCCCTTGCACACAAAACCTTCTTTACCCCCACCCTCCAACCTTTACTAGGCCGACCCCTACCCCGCCTTCCTTCCACTACAGACTGATACACTCTTGTAGTCATTCTGTTTCGCTCCATTCTCTCTACATGTCCGAACCACCTCAACAACCCTTCCTCAGCCCTCTGGACAACAGTTTTGGTAATCCCGCACTTCCTCCTAACTTCCAAACTACGAATTCTCTGCATTATATTCACACCACACATTGCCCTCAGACATGACATTTCCACTGCCTCCAGCCTTCTCCTCGCTGCAACATTCATCAACAATGCTTCACACCCATATAAGAGCGTTGGCAAAACTATACTCTCATACATTCCCCTCCTTGCCTCCAAGAACAAAGTTCTTTGTCTCCACAGACTCCTAAGTGCACCACTCGCCCTTTTCCCCTCATCAATTCTATGATTCACCTTATCTTTCACAGACCCATATGCTGACACGTCCACTCCCAAATATCTGAATACATTCACCTCCTCCATACTCTCTCCCTCCAATCTGATATCAAATCTGTCATCACCTAATGTTTTTGTTGTCCTCATAACCTTACTCTTTCCTGTATTCACTTTTAATTTTCTTCTTTTGCATACCCTACCAAATTCATCCACCAATCTCTGCAACTTCTCTTCAGAATCTCCAAAGAGCACAGTGTCATCAGCAAAGAGCAACTGTGACAACTCCCACTTTATGTGTGATTCTTTATCTTTTAACTCCACGCCTCTTGCGAAAACCCTCGCATTTACTTCTCTTACAACCCCATCTATAAATATATTAAACAACCACGGTGACATCACACATCCTTGTCTAACGCCTACTTTTACTGGGAAATAATTTCCCTCTTTCCTATATTCTCTAACTTGAGCCTCACTATCCTCGTAAAAACTCTTCACTGCTTTCAGTAACCTACCTCCTACACCATACACCTGCAACATCTTCCACATTGCCCCCTATCCACCCTGTCATACGCCTTTTCCAAATCCATAAATGCCACAAAGACCTCTTTAGCCTTATCTAAATACTGTTCACTTATGTGTTTCACTGTAAACACCTGGTCCACACACCCCCTACCTTTCCTAAAGCTTCCTTGTTCATCTGCTATCCTATTTTCCGTCTTACTCTTATACATATATATAAATAAATATATATATTATATATATATATATATATATATATGTGTGTGTGTGTGTGTGTGTGTGTGTGTGTGTGTGGTGTGTGTGTGTGTGGTGTGTGTAATGTGCCGAATAGGTATAACTTGCGATTTTGGCTTAAATATTAACGCTTTCCTTGCCGAATAAGGCAAGCGAAAATTTGTGTATCCAATAGTTTCGCAAAAATCATTTTGAACCTAATGAAATATATTTCATTGTATTTATTATTAAATTCTTGTAAACTTATCTAAAATATATTTAGTTGGATTAGGCTAAATTAAATTGCGTTTGTTATAATAAGTGTAGGTAAGTTTTCTAAGGTTCTTTAGGAACAAAATTATTATTCTTTTACATTAACATAAATGAAAAAATATATCTTTAAACGTATAAGAAATTTCACAAATAAAAATAGGCAAAATACCGTGACTGGAACAATACACAAATAACCCGTACATAGAGGAGAGGATTATGGTTAAAATCTTTCGTTATACACAACTTTCCTTGTATGTGTCTTAGTCGTGACTTTGTTGATGTCTTCCTCTCGCATTACAGTGTTTAATGTTCCAAACTTCAGAACACCTGTGACTTAACCTGATTCTTTTTTCCCCTTCTCCATCTTTCCCTTTCCTCTTTCCATTGGTTTCTTTGTTTTCATTCTTCTGCCTTGCATTTGTCCTTGCTCCTACCCTCTGTGGGCCCACTAGGTCCCTTGTGGGCCCTAGCTCCCTTGTGGGCCCCTAGCTCCCTTGTGGGTCCCTAGCTCCCTTGTGGGCCCCTAGCTCCCTTGTGGGCCCCTAGCTCCCTTGTGGGCCCCTAGCTCCCTTGCAGTGCTTCACTACTACTACTACTGCTTCTACTACTCTACCACTTCCTCTTTTGATCCCGTCCCTGTCTGCTCCCTCATTCTCTCCTTTTGTTAGTGTGACTTTGTAAATGGTCCAAGTCGGACCTCAACGCCATCGTAAGCTCCTGTGCGGGTTATTTGTGTGTAAGAATTTTTTTTAGAAATGACTTAATTTATGACCAATTTTACCTATTCGGCATGTTATTATATATATATATATATATATATATATATATATATATTTATATATATATATATATATATAGACATATATATATATATATATATATATTATATATATATATATATATCAATAACAACACTGCACTAGCCAAGGCTTCGAACCCATGTTGTACTGGCCTGCCTCATGGTAAGCGAGAACCACATGACGCTTTAAACCACATGACCACCCAACCCTACAAGAATGGTGCAGCCAGCACACAGCTAACTGTTGGGCCGCCATCCGAGGGCATACGGAGGTGTGGGAGCTTCTAAGCTAATTTCATTCTCATCCCTGTTTGGTGTACTAGCTTCACGAGCAGTATTTATATATTATTGTAACAACGAACGAGTGGTACAGCGTCATGTGGTTCTCGCTTACCATGAGGCAGGCCAGGACAACATAGGTTCGAATCCTTGGCTAGCGCAGTGTTGTTATTGATCAATACCACTCGTTCGTGGTTACAATAATATATATATATATATATATATATATATATATATATATATATATATATATATATATATATATATATATATTTTTTTTTTTTCAACAAGTCGGTCGTCTCCCACCAAGGCAGGGTGACCCAAAAAAAACAAGAAAGAAATCCCCAAAAAGAAAATACTTTCATCATCATTCAACACTTTCACCACACTCACACATTATCACTGCTTTTGCAGAGGTGCTCAGAATATAACAGTTTAGACAGCATATAAGATAAGATAAGATAAGATTTCGTTCGGATTTTTAACCCCGGAGGGTTAGCCACCCAGGATAACCCAAGAAAGTCAGTGCGTCATCGAGGACTGTCTAACTTATTTCCATTGGGGTCCTTAATCTTGTCCCCCAGGATGCGACCCACACCAGTCGACTAACACCCAGGTACCTATTTGCTGCTAGGTGAACAGGACAACAGGTGTAAGGAAACGTGTCGAAATGTTTCCACCCGCCGGGAATCGAACCCGGGCCCTCCGTGTGTGAAGCGGGAGCTTTAGAGATACACAACATATCCCTCCAAACTGCCAATATCCCAAACCCCTCCTTTAAAGTGCAGGCATTGTACTTCCCATTTCCATATATGTCGTGCCGAATAGGCAGAACTTGCGATCTTGGCTTAAATAGCAACGCTCATCTTGCCATATAGGTCAAGCATAAATTTGTGTATGCAATAATTTCGCCAAAATCATTCTGAACCTAACGAAAAAAATTTATTTCACTGTGCTTGTTTAGTATTAAATTATTGTAAACAAATCTAAAATATATTTAGTTGGGTTAGGCTAAAATAAATTCTTCTTGTTGTAATAAGGTTAGGCAAGTTTTCTAAGATTCTTTTGGTGCAAAATTAAAATTTTTTACATTAACATTAATGAAAAAAATATACGTTTAAACGTATAAGAGAAAATTTTAGAAGGGACTTAATTTTAAATATGAGTTCTTGATAATTGACCAGTTTTACATATTCGGCACGACATATATATATATATATATATATATATATATAAATATATATATATATATAATATATATATATATATATATATATATATACAATGCCAAATTAGAATTACTGTATTCTCACTGAGAGCTTACTCCTTTTTTGTCGTTGATTAAAATATTTATAAGTTCTGGCTTGTAGGTTACATGCATCGTAATTAACTACCGAGAAATATAATGCATTCCAACCTAACAAACCAAGCTACTGTTTATACGCTAAGCAATGCGTAATGCCAACTGTAAAGGGATTTCTAGGGACCCATCAGAATTACTTGTTTTCTTTTGTCTTATAATTAAGAGAGGTTAAGTGATAAATCGTATTGGGACTTAAAGGAACTGTTATTATTATTATTATTATTATTATTATTATTATTAATGTTTTTATTAACATTATTATTATAAAAATGCTAAAATAAAGGAATTTACAAAATGAATGAAAAAAAAATCAGTAAATTTAGATAAAACTTGCTTCTCACCATCTTGCATATCATGTGTGTAGACCAAGGTGAGAACAGAAGCTGTGAGCAACACCCAGACGCTGATCTTCATGTTATCCATCACATAACTTGACCTGCGTCTCTGGCTTTGTTTTCTTGCCTCCTCGGCTGGTAATAGTAATCGAGAAGTGAATTTGTCGTTTATAGTGTTTCAGATACTCAAGATTTAAATGTAATTCGGCAGATTATCCCGAGATTTTTGTTATTTTTGAAAGCCGGTTGGAAATTAAGCGGAAATTATTGAGGCGGCTAGATCAGTTGTCCACTAATGGAGACCCGGTATACGACCAATCATGCTTCTGGATTATCTACTGCAGAAAGCACACAGCATAGGCTTTTACAATTCACGATGTTGCCAGTATGACCTTCTATGAGCGTGAAACTGGTAATTGGAAGCCTAAATAAACTAGAAACGAAACTCCGACAATGATACCAGATGTCCAGTAATAGTAATGTGTATCTGAGGAGCTGCAGCAACGTTGTCCATCGCCCACTACGTCTCAAAACACACTGCACTCTTCCTGTCACTATGTGTTACATTTTAAATTTTTTCCTAGACACCAGCTCCATCTATGCTCAGATGTCACAGCTACATCCAATGTTATTACATTCGCCCGAAAAGGGTGAGTCATTTGACAGATTCAGTGGTGCCATTGCTACAACAGCGGTTTGAGGGGGTATATAACAGCTCTGTCTCTTAATAATAGTCGGTATTTCACTCTAGCTAATACAATCGAATTGGTGAATATTTCACGCTAACTGAACAGCAATAATCTAACAGTATTTCACAGTGGCCTTGATGGGCTCCTGTTTCCTGTTAGTTCCTCAAACTTTTTATCGACGTAATCAAATATTTTTTTATCAGTTTTTGTAAGTAAACAACACTAACCTAACTTTATTCAATATCATAAACTAGAAAATTTGCTGAAATTGGTAAATGAGAAATCTACGTTGGATATAAAGGGCGAGGTAGACAATAATAATAATGGTAATAATAATTATTATTATTATTGTTATTATCTTAATGTCTACAAGTACTGATACGGATGTAGTTGACATCAGTGGCATCATACTATATAGAAAGCCGTTGGTTATACAGGTCAATTCCGGTTTATCTTGTCTCAGGATGGGTTCTACAACAGTCGGCTAGAACCCAAATACCTACTTTCTGATAGGTGAACAGGACCACCAGGTGAAAGGAAATATACCCAACGTTTAACTCTTACCGGGAATCGATCACAGACTCTCGATATATGAAATGCGGACGCTACCAACCAAGCCACGAGCACCATCATGCAAATGTAGCAGCCTAACTGATGGATTACTAGTCTCAGTAGAATTCAGTAGAATTCAGCGTTGCAACACTTCAGCTATTGGATGTACTCCTCAGCTCAGCCAAACTTCCTTACTGAGCGAGAACTGAAGAGTGTTTGGTGGAAATAAAACTCTAGTAGAGTAAAATATAAGAATACGTATGTTTGTATTCATATGAAGACCTGTATGCATATATGCTTTTGTGTACATTGGAATATGTATATACATGAGTGTTTACATATGTATACATGCTCGAATATCAACTTTTTATATGTATTCATGTGTGTATCTACAGAATATGTACTAGTGTGTGTATTCGCTTTTAAATGAATGAATGTTCACCCTTGTGTGAAGGGTGTATACTTATGTATGAATGTGTGTATGTATTTCTGACTGAATGTATGTGTACATATTAACAAATGTACTCGTGTGCATATTGAATACATATGAGTAAGTGTACATATGAATATGTATGAGCGCATATGAATGATTCTGTCTGTGTACTAACCAATAAGTACTCAGTGACCTATATGTGGTTGCAGGAGACGAATCGCCGCTCCTGGCTCCGCCTCATCGCCAGTGGGTAACCAGTTACTTCCTCAGTAGGGTTGCTCAGTTATCTTAAGTGCATCATATGAGGGAGTGAAAATTAGACATGATGCATCATAGAATAATGAAATAAAACAGAAAACATCACTGTCAATATAATATGTTCTATTAGACACCTATGAGAATACTACATGAAGCACATTTATCAAAATACCATTTTTTCTGGTTTTTTTTTTCTAGCGGCACATACGCGTACAGTTTTTTCATGAGTTTCCTTCCAATATCATTTTCTAGACACATTATGCATAAAGAATTTAAGTGGTATTTAGTCATGGTGGACCGAAATTTGTTCTTTATAAAGGATAGCATTGAAAAATTCCTTTCTGCTATCAGCTGGTGATAAACCATACCCCCGGCCGGGATTGAACCCGCGGTCATAGAGTCTCAAAACTCCAGCCCGTCGCGCTGGTGATACATTGTCAAGAACAACTTAAGTGCAGTTGTAATATTGAGGAACACTTCAATTAGGTGTTGCTCACAAGTAAGTTGAAGAATTTTTGCGCATTGCAATGTGGACTTAAGTCGCTTCTGGTGGCCTTCCAGGATTAGGGGCCTTGAAGCTTAAGCTTCATTCGTTTCGTAGTAGATCCATCCCAGCTCTTCTCTGTATCTCATCTCTGAAACAATCTGTCATTGTTAACCTTGTAAGTTATTCTCAATATTTTGCACGTCCTTATTATATCCCACTTCTCCTCCTGTCCTCTCGTGCCATCAGGTTGCGTTCTATTAACCTCTCCTCATCAGACACACCTCTTAAATCCGGGACTAGCCTTACTGCAAACCTCTGCACTTTCTCTAATTTCCTGACGTACTTGAGCAGGTGTGGGTTCCATACTGGTGCGGCATACTCCAGTATGGGCCTGACGATCACGGTGTACAGTCTCGTGAATGATTCTTTCCTCAAAAGCCTATATGCTGTAGAAGTTATTTGTTTGATGTGAGTCTCAGGGAATGTGCTCGGTATGATACTCACCTCAGTATTCTTTTCCATAAATGAGGTTAGTAGCCTTTAACCCGTGAGCTTGTACTCTGCGGTCTTCTTTGTCCTTCCCCAAGCTTTATAACTTTGCACTTAGTGGGGTTAAACTCCAGCAGCCCCCACTCCCCCAAATACATACACGCTCTCTCTCTCTTACTAGTTTCACTCACGTTCGCATAGTGCTTCATAGTACTTCTTATTTTCTCATGCTAGCAGCTCAGGTAAATACATGAAAGCAGTCACAAAGGTCCTTTTGATTTGTAGTTATTGTCAGTGGTGTTTTCTGGCAAGAATGGTAATTATTATTGATTTGTAGATGAATGGTTCAGAGAACCGACATGTTGATAAATTAGACACATGTGCAACTCTTGGGTATCTTTATTGAGGAAACGTTTCGCCACACAGTAGCTTCATCAGTCCATACAAAGGAGAATCTTGAAGAACAGGAGGAGAATGAGGTAATCAGTCCCTCAACCTTGAGTCGATGTGGTCAGTCCATCAATCTTGAATAGAATACGGCATACGTGCTGAGAAGGACTTATAAATCGTTGGCAGGAAGGTGAAGCTGTCATAGGTCTGTAACATTTGTTCAATGTTGAAGTAGGTCGTGCCCAAGAATTAGGCAAGCGAAGAATTCAAAGTATTAAATCCCAAGAAGTTGCAGTGTCTGACAGGTTTGTAGATGAATGGTTTCTCTGAACCATTTTATCTACAAACCTGTCAGACACTGCAACTTCTTGGGATCTTAATACTTTGGAATTCTTCGCTTGCCTAATTCTTGGGCACGACCTACTTCAACATTGAACAAATGTTACACGACCTATGACAGCTTCACCTCTCCTGCCAACGGTTTATAAGCTCCTTCTCAGCACGTATGCCGTATTCTATTCAAGATTGATGGACTGACCACATCGACTCAAGGTTGAGGGACTGATTACCTCATTCTCCTCCTGTTCTTCAAGATTCTCCTTTGTATGGACTGATGAAGCTACTGTGGCGAAACGTTTCTCAATAAAGATACCCAAGAGTTGCACATGTGTCTAATTTATACAACATGTCGGTTCTCTGAACCATTCATCTACAAACCTGTCAGACACTGCAACTTCTTGGGATCTTAATACTTTGGAATTCTTCGCTTGCCTAATTCTTGGGCACGACCTACTTCAACATTGAACAAATGTTACACGACCTATGACAGCTTCACCTCTCCTGCCAACGGTTTATAAGCTCCTTCTCAGCACGTATGCCGTATTCTATTCAAGATTGATGGACTGACCACATCGACTCAAGGTTGAGGGACTGATTACCTCATTCTCCTCCTGTTCTTCAAGATTCTCCTTTGTATGGACTGATGAAGCTACTGTGTGGCGAAACGTTTCCTCAATAAAGATACCCAAGAGTTGCACATGTGTCTAATTTATCAATTATTATTGAGTTCCATTTAGATTACTTGAGTGTGTTGGTTTATGTCTGCACATGTTATTTCTTACAACGTACTTGTTATCGTCGAGCAATCCTTACATGACAATGTCAAACATTCTCGTGTAAGCGTGACTACTTTTTGTACCAACCTGCCATAGAAAGTAAAGAAACGTTTCTTTCATGAATTTGATCTTCCATTCCCTATGATTCGAGATTAAGTCAAGCCATGAAGTATTGACCGATGGTTGACAGTTGTCAATGGAAGGAAACTTCTAACTTAGAAGCATCGCAATTACATGAAGAACTATCCGGGTGCGAAAGTCTGTCAGGGTATATGTCAGAGATGGCTAAATTCTCCGGTAGCACTAAACGTTGATAGAGATGTTATTTCATATTACATTGGATCATGGATATCGCGTTATAATTTATTGCACTGGAGCCTATCTTTAACATTAATATATGTCTATGTCATGAGGGTTTGTCAATTAAATCATACTATTTAGCTTATTTTCCGAATTTACTAAACTTCTGGGGAATTCGATTAACGGTTATTATTGAGAAGTTAGATTGAGGACTGTATAGTTTGTAATTGTATCTAGAAATACTCTGGAATATGTGGACAATGTTTTGACAAATAATAATTTAAACAAGAACTCCTAGGAAGTTCAACTTTTTTATTAGTGTTTTAAGACAATTAAAATAAAGAGACAGTTTTAATGGATACACACATGCTTGTTGAATTAGACATTTTTGCAACACTTGAGTATCTTTATTGTGGAAACGTTTGGCCAACCAGGTTCAAGAGGTACGAGGTAGGTTTACGAATGCAGTGTTAGAGTGTTCAGCAGAAGTTTGAGGATATAGGAGGGTGGGTGCGGGAGGGAAGAAGAGTGATTGGTGGAATGATGAGGTAAAAATAGTAGTAAGAAAGCTATAGTTACCTCCTGCAGTATTAGCTATAGTTACCTCCTGCAGTATTAGATATAGTTACCTCCTGCAGAGGTTTTTGCAAAGTAAAAGTGATATAAGGAGGAAGGAAATGGTGAAGAGTGGTGAAGGAATGTAAAGATAGAGCAAATGACATAGTAGATGAGATATTGTGGACAAATTTTGTTGAAACTAAGAAAAAGTTTTGGAGTGAGATTAATAAGTTAAGCTTATGGAACAAATGGATTTG